CTTCTATCCGCCAGTGGCTGGGTCACGGGAACGCTTGAACTTCAACTGTACCTTCTATAACCTCGGTATACTAATCTCTACCAATATTATAAGGAGGAAAGATTTGTATTTTTGTATGTATTGAAATAACAAAAAAAAAGTACTAGAACGATTTTAAAAATTCTTTCACCGTTTAAAAGCTATGTTATAAGTGAGTAACATAATCTATATGTTTTTATTATTTTATAATTTGACGCCAGCGAAGTTGCCAGCAACAGCTGTTTATGCTATAAAATCGATACTTAACAAAAAAATCTGGTCAAACACCTTTTGTCACAAAACTCTTATTTATTTTTTAACTATTGTCAGCGATTTCAATCGCACGTAATTAAAAAAAAAACTACTCCCAAATTAAAAAAAATGCAACAGCAAATGTTCTTCTCAAACTATGATCTACATCAGTGCTAAATTACATCCAGATCCGTTAAGCATTTTTAAAGATAGTAACAAACATCCATCCATTCACACTTTCGCAATGTTCTTGTAATATTTACTAATTATGGCAATTATATTTTAGATATTTAATTAGTTTTTAGTTTGGATATAAATATCGTAATCAGCTCAGATACCAAGGAAATTAGTTTAGCTCACAATGTGATCAAAAAAGTTTATTATTAAGAACCTACCATTTGAAATCCTTCAACAGTTCATCAAGGCTACCTTCAACCTCTTTTAAAGTATCATTCAAATACTTTAACTTGATGAGTATTTTTCTTCTATCTCTTTCTGCAATTATATTATCTGCGGTTGCATTTTCACTGGCTTCATCCACAGCGGTTGCATTTCCACTATCATTTTCTGCATCAACATTCTCACTTGTATTTACTGCGGTTATATTTTCTGCAGAATCGTTCACCGCAGTCCCATTTTCATCCTGCGGCAACGATTCATTAGAACTACTTGAGGAATCTTCGTTTTTCTCTGCAGCATTTGTACTTGTACTGCCTGAAACAAATTTATTGCATTGATATTACAAGTGACCGCTATTTTATGGACCTCTACAATAATACAAACTTACCACCACATTGATTACAAAAATCGATATCATTGTTTCCTTCAGCCTCCATTGCACTAATAATGCTATTCATTTCTGCTATCTGAGCATTACTTGCAGGCTCTGTCTCCTCCTGAGTCTCCGTTTCTTGTTCTTGAGTCTCTACAGGTCGTTGG